AAAGGCAAAAAACAGTAAAAACAAAAAGGTCCAAAAAAGTAAAAAAGTCAAAAAAAGCAAAAAAATCGAAAAAAGCGCTCATGCTCATGCACATACATGCACACACGTGCACACACGTGCACGCTCATGCGCACTCTTGCAAATGATCCCTATGGACGATCCCGGGGAATCGGGATCGCCCATRTCGCATCCCGCGGCGCTTCCCGCGCTCCCGCGGAGCCTTCGCGGCCGAACGTCGCCCCGGCAAAATATTAGGAGTCCCGTAATAATAATAATCACATCGGTGAGAGCACCGCCGGTTYAGCAGCAAAGGTTAACTGCATTTGTATAAAAAGCTGATAGACAAAGCGACGCTCGAACGGTTGGGCAGATTAATTGAAAGCTGACGTTGCTCCTAAATTGAATTTCAAATGAATTTTACATCCAGGGTTCATTTTGCTAATTCCCTTCGCTGTATCCTGTAATTTGCTGGCGGTGATTGATGAGTTAAGTGACTGATATCTCTGCGTGGGGAGCACTTAGCGAGGAGCGCGCCGAGCGCCATCGCAGCCCGCGGAAATCCAGTTTATCCCACGTTTCTCCGCACGTTTCTCGGCCGCGCGGGGTTATCCCTGCAGGGTTTTCCGTGGGAATCCTTCGGGATCGGCCGGGAAGCGGCCGGGAAGCCGCCAGGACGCTCCGCTGCTGCAGCACGGCCGCAATTACAGCTTAATGCAATTTTAATGTGGGCACCGGCGCTGCTCGCAGCCAGCGACAATGRGCGGTTGCTACGCTACAGCCGGAGCGCGGTCACCATGGCGACGGGCGTCAGTCGGGGCTGTCACCCATCCCTGCCCCCCCTCCCCGCTCCGGGGCCTCCTGTTGCTCCCCACGGAGGGAGCGCGGGCGGGCGGAGCGTGGAGCGGCCSCGGCCCGGCCGCCCCCCGCGCGGGGTGCCCCGGATCCGGTGGGAAACGCGTGGGAGACGCCGGGAATCGCCGGGATGCGGCTGCTCCGCGGGGCCCTGGAGACCGCAGCCCCCCCGGGGCTCTGCGCCCCGGAGCCGGGAATCGGGAACCAGGAACCACGAGCCGGGAACCGGAACCGGGAGCTGGGAACCGGGAGCCAGGAACAAGGAGCCGGGGCGGCCGTGGGGGCTGCAGTGCCCTCCTGTGGACGCAGCTCCCACGCGGCCCCCTGGCTCCGTGCTGGGCACCCCAGGACACCCGAATCCCACCCGAAGACCCCTAGGGAAAATAGTCCCTGCTCTGCAGAGCTGGGCAAGGTGCTCCAGGGCACCCGTCACTTCCACCCCATATCTGTGTCAGGTGCTCCAGGAAACCCTTCCCTGTATCCCATATCCATGCCAGGGTGCTCCAGGACATCTGCCCCTCCAATACAAAGTACCCCAGGATGCCGCTTCCTTCCACCCCAAATGTGACACACGGATGCGCTCAGGGACATGCAGGACACCGAGCACCACACGCCGCCACAAATGAGCACCCTGCAGTGCTCCCATGCCATGCATCCCATCCSATCCCAGACAAGGCGTGGGGGAATTAAATTGCAAAGTGATGTCCTTTCACCAGGGAGTTAAATGGCAAGATACTGCTGTTGCACCGTGGAGCTAAATTGCAAGATGCTGCTTTTGCATTAGGGAATTAAATTGCAGGACGCTGATTTTGCACCAGGGAATTCAATTGCAAGACTCCGATTTTGCAGTAGGAAGTTAAATTGCAAGATGCTGATTTTGCATGAAGGAGCTGCACTGCAGGATGCTGCTTTTGCACCAGGGAATTCAATTGCAACACACTGCTTTTGCCCTACCCACGGGCCGGGCGACCCTTGGGCTGTGTCGCGGGTACCTCGAAGCGGCCGCGGCTGCGGATGCAGCGCTGGAAAGGGCCCCACGGTGGCGAGCAGCGGCTGCGGGGCGGCCGGTGCCGCCGGTGCCSGTGCCGGCCCGCGGCTCAGCAGCAATTCCCGGGCTCCGCTCCGGGAATTCGGGCCGGCGCSGCGGGAGGCAGCTCGGGCCTTCCCGGGACGCGCCCGGCGGGATCGCGGTGCCGGAGCCGCTAGAGGGGGATCTCGGACAGCGGATCTGCGGGGATCCTCCGGATCTGCGGGGTCCCTGCAGCCTCCCTGGGACCCTGCCTCCCTCCTGGGACCCTGCATCCGCCCGGGCATGTGCAGTCTTACTGGGGTCCCTGCAGCCCCCCCGGGCTCCCCACATCCTCGGGCATGTGCAATGTTACTGGGGTCCCTGCAGCCCCCCCGGGCACCCTGCAGCCACCGTGGGGACCCTGCATCTTTCCTGCACACGTGCATCCCTCCCGGGGTCCCTGCATCCCTCCCGGGGTCCCTGCATTGCCCCTGCAGATCCCTGCATCCCCCTGGGGCATGTGCAACCCCACCAGGACCCCTGCGTCCCCCCTGGGGTCCCAATGTCTCTCCTAGGACATGTGCAACCCTCCTGGGGTCCTGCTCCCCCCCGGGAACATGGATAACCCTCCTGGGGACCCCTGCACCCCCCCCCTCAGGCCCCTACAACAGCCCTGGGGGGAAGTGCTCCCACTATCGGGGTCCCCGCAGCCCTCCTGAGGACCCCTGCACCCTCCCGGGTCCCTGCATCCCCATCCCAGCCCACTCTGCATCCCCGCTAGGGACAGGGGCAATCCCACCAGGGACCTCTGCATCCCTTTGGAGACCCCTGCGTCCCTCCTGGGGACATGTGTGTCGCTCCTGGGATCCTTACATGCTCCCCGGGAGCAGAAACAACCCTACTGGGGACCGCTGCATCCCCTTGGGACCCCTCAGGATGCTGCTGGGTCCCTTTGGCCCCCTTGAGCCTGGCGCATCCCTCCCTGGGGCCATCCCCATCCTCATCCCCATCTCCACTGCCATCCTGGTCCCCCTACCCATCCCAGTCCCTTTCCCCATCCCCATCTCCATGGCCATCCCCATCGCCATCCTGATCCCCGTCCCCATCCCGATCCCCATCCCCATCCCAGTCCTTTTCCCCATCCCCATGCCCCTCCGTGTCCCAATCCCTGTCCCTGTCTCCATCCCTATCCCCATTCTAGCCCTGAGCTCAGTGGGCCAAATTACCACCTGGAACCACCTCGGCGCTCAGATAACACGGAGATGCTGGCGACAACGCAGCAAAAATGCTGCTGCCAACCGAGATCCTTCCWTTTCTCGGGAATCCGGATTAGCATCCAGCCCAACAGGCCAAATAACCTCCTGCTTTGCTCCTGGGGGGGAACCCGACTGCACCGATTTATTTCCCAGGCCACAAGTGAGCTTTGATTTGACGTGATATCGGGACAGCATTGCCATATGTTTTTGAAACAGTGCACATAAAAACAGATGTAACCATTTTAATAAATAAGAAACTGTTTTAATGAATAAGAGCTCAGAAAKAGGTGCTGTAGGCACCACACACGACTGAGCCGCAGTGCACAGCAGCGCAGTTTCAAAGGGGCTATTCTTCCTATTTCCCAGCACAGTAGTATTTCTTCTAAATCGTGTGTATTTTGCATTAACTCGGAGCACTCCCTGCTGGGATGCCAACAGGAACCGCACACAAATTCTCCACAAATCGGGCTAAAAATATGAATTTGCAGTCCCGATACATTCGCTTAACACTATAGTGATCCAAGGTCACCAAACTGTTTAGCAGGGCAAGGGGAGAGCCGCATTTAAATCGGCTTCAGGCACGTTCTGCACCTYGCCGCACAAGCCCCCTTTATTCCCAGCACGTTGCTCCTGGGCGAGGTACCGGGGGAATCAAGCACAGGCAAGAAGAGACCCTCAGTTTGCCGACGGGCCTCGCGATTTGCGGTCACGCTGCTGCAAAAATAATGCATCGTGTTGCACGGAGGCACGCGGCATCCGGGGCTGTCTGCTCCCCTGGTCGATCTATGAAATTTAGGGATTTAGGAATCCCAGAATGGCTGAGGTTGGCAGGGATCCCTAGGGATCCCCCAGTGCAGCCCCTGCTCTAGCAGGGACASCCGGAGCACTGAGCACCCAGTGGGATCTCCATCTCCAGAGCAGGAGCCTCCGCAGCCTCCCCGAACAGCCCATTCCAGGGYTTGGGAAACCCCATAATAAGGAGGTTCTTCCTCCCATGGAGGTGGATTTGCCTGGGGTTCAGCTTGTACCCATTGCAATTAAAGGAAYTGCAATGAAAATGAGGCCAGCAAGTGGCTCACCCAAGAAAAGGGCTTCTGGCTGCTCCACCTATGGAGCTTCCCAGGGRCCACGACCAGAGGCACCTCCTCAATCCACATCTTCCAAGGGACAAGAAACCACTTGGAAACAGCCCCCAGCTTCCCGAGCCACCACGCAGGGCATCAGCCCCAGCGACAGAGCAACTCTCCTTGGAAAAACAGGGATGCTTCTGGCTGTGGGAGAGCCTGGCATGGGATCGGAGATGGAGAAGAGCATCCCGGCTCCGTGGGGAAGGGCTTCTCCGTGGGCAGAGCCCTCACCGCGCACCCGAGCTGCCGCTTCTTGCGGCATCTTTCCAAATTCAGTGACATTTGATGGTCTTTCAGAGGCTCCACCACCTGGAGCCACCTCCTGAAGCCTGGATCTCAGCTTTACTGAGAGCAGCTGGAGGCCCAGGCTGAGCCTAGAGGCCAAGGCTCAACATTAACTTTTCAGGCTTGGGACCAGGAGCTGCCTAAAAAAGAGCCCGGCCTTTATTATTTTCCACAATGATTTCCAAGCTGAGCCGTTTTTACAGCTTTGGCTTGTGACTTCAGACTGTCTGCGCTGACTAATTCCGAGCAAATTATTTTGTCACGTTTTTGATGTATTCTTGCTTCAAAGGCTCCCAAATAGCTGGTGACTGAGGTAAGCTACTTGGCCAAGTCTCTGGCATTTTGCACCAGGGAAAATATCAGCTGCTCTGAAAATATCCTGAAGTTTTGAAGGTGTTTTCAGGTTTAACGAGCACAGACTTGGTCAGTTAAATAAAGCTTAGCTGGCTGCAGCTGTCAAAAGGAGTGCAGAAAATATAACTTACTCGATGATGAGTTTCAAGTAAAGTCAGTCAAAAATAAATGCTTATATTATATGAAATATGGCAAGACTAAGCTCTTCCTCTGAAAAACAGGGTGTTTTGACATTCWTTATTTTTAAACTCACCTTAAATCAAATGTTTGATACACCTTGCACTCTTCATCATTCATGTTTATTCCAAGTGCCAGTGCAAAACATCATTTATTCTTCAAKTAGGGGCAAATGGTACCATAAATTAGATATATCTAATCTTGTAAGGATTTAAGTTAATATTGTCCTGGTAAAGCTTCATTYGTTTATTTGGTCAAATAATGAAAAAAAAGTGACAGACCCATTGAGGAACATCTGGTTGTGACATTTTAATTATTACTCAGGTATTTTATAACAGCTTTCAATGTACCTGTGGGTACTCACCTACGTCCTGTGGCAAACAGGGAATATTTGGTTCCTCAGACGTACATGATCAAGCTGTTCATCCCAAACTCCATCAGCTGGTGCCGGTCTAATATCCAGCTTAGCTGGATGAGGACGTACACAGCTCGCTGCACTGTTCTCCTGAGAAGCACTCCATCCATAACAGCCCRTAGGATAAAGAGAGCACCATTCATTCACGTATACATGAGTACTTTTTAATGCGAGGGGAATGTGTTAGTTTATTTATAACTCGTAATTATTAAGCCCAAAGCCAAACAGCGCTGCAGGGACTCTGCCAAAAGCAGCGCCGGGTGCGACCGCAAGGCTCGAGCGCGAACCCATCGGGCCCATCTGCGACACGGGGAGATGCCTCCAACGGAGGCCGGTGGAAAAATCAGGCTGCAAAAAAGCAGCCGGAAAAATCAGGCTGCAAAAAAGCAGCCGGAAAAATCAGGCTGCAAAAAAGCAGCCGGAAAAATCAGGCTGCAAAAAAGCAGCCAGAAAAATCAGGCTGCAAAAAAGCAGCCGGAGCGGCTGGAAACTGCAGCCCCAAGCTCAGTCTTCCTCGGAGCAGGGAGGAAGGGCGGCCGGGAGCAAGCGGGGCAGGAAACGGGAACGCGATCCCGGGAGGATCCTGCTGCGTCCGCAGGGCTGGTGCCGGTTTGATGGGACAGAGCCACCCGTGTGCTTAGTGAACGGGGCACAAACCTTCCATCCCGGCCTGCACAAGGCACGACAGGGAATACAAATGGGATTTCCTCCATGAAGTTTGCTTGGGTCGGGCTACGTCTGCGTTGCATGCACGCACTACACACACAGTGCATTGTACATGTTTACTTTGCAGGTCCTGGGGGAGAAGATAGGCTTTCAGGAGTTCAAAACTGTCTAAATCCAACCGTAAATGCACAGTAGCACCAAGGCCAAGCAACTAATCAGAGAAACTTTTARCTTTAAGTCGTAGGGAAAAAAGGAGGCCCAAGATATGAAGGATACTGAATACTAATTGCATCCATGTGGGACCAGGAAAAACCTTCTCCTCATTAGAGAATGTCTGAATTCTCTGGTCACACATAAATAAATAGATATGTTTCCAAGTTCCCTCATTAACTTTATCTTTATGCATTTAGCATTCCTGAAATTACACTGCGGAGCCAAAAGAAATATTTTTTAGAGACAATCAGCACAACATATAAGCAGCAATGTGAACTCGATACATGGGCTTAAATCTGATGTTTTCTTGCTGTATAATTTTCTTTTTTAGAGGGAAAAAAACATTGTCATGTCATAACACAAAGAAAAAACACAAAGCTAAATTGTGAAAGAACAAAAGAGATGGTTTCTTTTTTAAAGAAATATTTCTTCTGTRATCTGTAGATAGGTTTATTCTAATGGACAGGTCCATTGGACTCTCTACAGAAATTTTTCTTTTCTGAAGTTCTGATTGACTTCAGAAGAACAGATCCTTTATAAAAGAGGAAACAAGGGAATGATTTTCCCAATGCAGCACCTTAATAAAGAAATCCCAGCATTTTGCAGCACCCTATCCAGTGCCTCAAGGCAGTGCAACCACTTCCAACGTGCTCCTGTAACACCCCCTTCCCAGCCCTCCAGATAATGAATGATAAGGAATCATAGATAATGAATCTGCTCCACCAGTGCCATGCTGCCTTCCTCACCTCCCAGCCACGTATTTGGAAGTATTTAAAAGTCTGCAAAGGTTTCGGAGTTTCTTTTGGGTGACTGATGGCAATCTTGAAGAATCTGCTTAGATCAAATTTGGGAAGAAGGCTGAGTGCAACTTGCCTAGCGAAAAATGCAAGAGATCAGAAAATCTTATTAAGCCCTTCCCAGCAACACAAAAGGATAGTTTGGAGATAAAAAATGTATATAAAATGAAATACAACAATAAGATCCCATCTTCTGCATAAMGGAGCCATGCAAGGCTCCCTCGCAGCTATGAGGCACCTCATACATCAGAACAACACGAGTATCAGCGTGCATTTTATAGCTGATTTTATGATGTGATCAATTATGTCTATTTTACTATCCACATCATTTGAAAAATGCACTACAGTAAGGCTCAAAAACTAGAGRTGTGCACCAAAGGGAAAAGGTCCAAGTCGATATTAAACCTTGACGTTTAAAGATTGCGTTACAGGAGCTGCTCAGTCTAAAAAAGCTTAAAATTATTTCCTAATTCTCCAGTTTTCTGAGATRCAGACAGTACAAAACAGTAAGCATTTCCCAGCTAAAGCCTCCACAGCTAATCAGCAACCAAAAGCTAGAAATGGAGTCACAAAATTAACTATTATAAAAAAAAATTTCCATTCTATGCAAACATGTAGTTGCCAAAATGTGGGCACAATTTTTTACAACACAACACAAAAAAGCTTCTGGCTTTCTCCAATACTCCACAAGGCTCTGTAATACCTCCACGTGGACGTAATAAATGAGATGCTACAACTCCTTCAGCCAAAACCTTATTTATAGAACAGCATCCGCATGAGAAATGACATCTGGAGCTAAGGCTGAGGCCACAAAAGAAAATAAATCTGACCTTTGAAGTCACAGAGCTTCCCTCACACGATCTGYTCTCTGGGAAGTGATGTTTCGCAGAGACCTGTGCTTTCAGCAGCACAGAATTTTCTAATTTCACGGTTTAGATGAACAATCTTAGCGATGAAAACTTAATCTGAGAAGAGGGCAGAAAAAAATACAGCTATTTTGCTACTCAAACAAATGGACAATTTGAAAACTCAAGGATAAAAAAAAAAAAGTATTCCAAAAAAAGTACGTTGGATAAATCCTACAATCAAGGGAAGTGCCAGTGGCCTGGAAATTATGTGAACTTTGGTGGCAGCTGCAAGGGCCTTCTGTGCTTTGCAAGGGTCCAATGCCAGCATGGAGCTTCCCGCTGCATTTTTGGGGCTGAAACAGCCCCAAGGCTCTTATCACATTGGGAAGATTATATGGAAACCAGCACTGGTTTTTTGGCTTATCTGACAAGTCAGCAGAACCAGCAAAGAGAAAGAGCTGCTTTGGGTCAGTTGATTACTTTGTGATTTACTTCTAAATATGTTAAAAGAATCAAATAACATTTGACCAATCTCCCCTGGCAAGGGGTGGCTACTGAATGGTTAAATAGGATAGGCTGAAATATGTGGAATTATTTCCTTATTTAAATACATATTCATTAAAAAAATATATTCACAGTTTCCATTAAAATTTCATTATTGCAATGGGACCAAGAGTGTCCAAAAGGTGTTTAAAATAAGTTTTCTACCTGCTGGAGAGTCTCAGAAAGTTTGATCAAGAGGAATCAGCACATTATGGGCAGGATCTTCTCGGGTCAGTGATGACTAAGGCCGGGATTTTAGCTGGGACAAGAAGGCAGGGCTGATGTTGCCCGAGGAAAAACAGCCACTGAGTATTTATATCTAAAGAAAGGTGGGAATAGCATCCAGGAGACATTAGGAACAACTGACAAGAAAAAAAAAGCAATCCGTGGATACCAAAAAAGGTGCAACCTGCCCAGAAACGTGGCTCTGAGGATGGCGAGACCGAGCGCTGCTCCCGGCGCTCCGGAGTCGATTCTCGGCTGCAGAATAAATCCTCTAGAGGGAGGCAGAAAATTGGATAAGAGATATTGTCCCGTTCAGTCCAACTGCACCAAGAGACCACGGAGCTGCAAGGCAGAACAGCAAATAGAGACGTCCCTGGCACCAAACGTGGGCTAGCTGGGCACCTTAGTGCCACGGCCAGGCGCTGGCAGGGCACGCGGYACAGAAAAGGGACAAATCTCACACCGCAGCACTTCTGAGACCTCTTTTTCACCGTTTCGGAGGTTTTTGGCAATAAATCCCCAGGGATCCGAAAGGGCTGGAGGGATGAAGGGCGGCAGGGACCGCGGGACGGAGCGCGGGCGGATGCCGGGCTGGAGCCGCCTGCATCAGCACTTCCCGGGCCCTGCTCAGCCAGGGGATAGACCAGCACAGTAAATATTTAATTAGAGCGAGCTACGGCCAACGTAGCATCGCTGCTTGTTTATGGGGGCATTTTAAGCTGTTTTAGATCGAAAAGTGAATTTAGCCCCCTTAAAAATTACAGCCATTGTAAATCACTTGCGGAAAAAATGCAGTCKCAGTTTTTTTGTTCCTGAAAAAGTTACGAACAATTTAATTATAGCCAGAATTTATTACCCACGTTTTGATGGGGCACTTTTAACCTATTGCAAAATTTATGCCTGTGATTTCACTAATGCGTCTTTAGCTATTTAACTTTATGTATGTGGGATGTCCCACAAAAAACAGTGGAAACAGATGAGTGTTAAAATGGGATTTCTGTTCCAGGAGAAATGTCTAATATTTCTCTTTCTCTATTTTTTCTTTCTTTTTTTTTTTTTCTTTTTTAAATCAGGATCATGCTGAAAAGTTGATATTGCAAAACTACCAGAACAGAGAACAGATGGGAAAATGAAAGTTCCACTTTAGATTCTTCAAAATGGATTTTTTTCCCCCACTTTGATGTCTGTGTTTCAAGACAAGCGCAGAAACCAGCGGGCCCCAAACTGGTGCCCGGGGCACCCGAGGCCCCGCTGCTCCGGGGTGGCCTCGTGCTGGACCCTTCCTGGCAGCAGATTTGGGAAGAGTTGTCAAATATCCGCTGGGAGCCCCAAAACAACCTCCTGCCTCCAGCGCCGCATCCTCATGGATGGGAACTCCTCGGAATGGCCAGGATCCAAAGGCAGCTCCCTGTGTGGCTGGCGGAGCTTGTTCCCAACACGGCACCTGGATGAGAAGGGGAAATAGGAACCAATTTGAAAACACTGAAACAAACAGTGACATGAGAAGCCTCAAAGTCAAGCAAGACCTTTTGGGCAATCAAACATAAAACTGAAATAGGGGACGCAAAACAAAACGTGATTTCAATTTTTGAAGATTCTGTAGTTTTCTCAAGCTTTACTGAAAAACCAACACGATCACATAAAAATTAAAAACACTGATGACATGAGGGGAAGTTTCTATACAAGTATYTGGACATCCTCTAGGAGGGTTTCTMTTAGAAACCAGGGAGAACTTGGGTCCCAAGAGGTTCTTGCCACCAGAARAGCTGCAGTGAATACGGCATCCACTCCAGAGAAAAGACTTTGCATTTTTTACTGCTTTCCTCAACCAGCAAAATTTCTTCTCACTGAGAAAAGAGCGCTGGCAGTTTGGTTGTGGCATACCTATTTTTCCGTGCAGCTAAAATGCACGTTTTTTGTTAAAACTAGCTAAGGCCAGGCCTTAGAGCCAAGCATCCTGCAGGAGACGCAGGGGGGTGACGGGGAGCGCTCCCAGGGGACTCCCAGGACTAGGTGGCAGCACTTGCTCTGCTTTCCCGGAGCCGGGAATCACATGGAAAGCCGTGGGACGTGCGGAGCGTGCAGCCAGCCGGGAGCTCGGGAAGGAACCATGGCAGCAGCAGGGAAGCAGGGAAGCTGCTAAGGAGCCGGGGCTCTGATCCCTGCTCTTTGGGCACACTCCGGATGCGCATCGGGAAAGAGCCACCACCAGAACTCTGGGAAAGAGCCCGGATTCACGGAATGCTCCCAGAAAAAGCCCTGTCTCCCCATGGCTTTTGCACGTTGATCTGGGGAGCGCCCAGCTATCAAAATGATAAGCAAGGCAAGAGAAYGGTCAGGTTCCTCTGCAAGACGATGCATCTTGCAGCACATCTCCTACCTTTGCAAGATGCAATATTAGTAAAAGTAATCCTGAGTCCAGGTACAGATTTTGTACCAATTCAATAAGCACATTTGTTTGGAAACAAGCAGAGTTAGTTCAGTAAAACTTGCTGTTTTATACAGTGTAATCATACTGGTATAAACAAGTCCCCATCCCCATTATTTTAAAACCTTATGGTCTGCACCTTAATCAACACTAGTGCTATTAAACAAAGAATTATCTTCAGACCCGTGTATATATTAAAACATCTGAAGGAAAATTAGGCAAATAGCAGCTTTTTGTTTAGAAGCCCAGCTCAATTTCAACAGAAGAGCAGTGCCACTTTCTTCCAGTCCCACCTGTTCTGCCAGAGCCTCCACCCCAGTAAACTTGCTCGGCGAGATACTGAGCGACAACCTGTTTCCCCAGTGCAAGACCAGTCAAAAACCACTTCATCATCAGAACATTTGCTGGCAGGATGTTCCTGAGAGGGTTTTGCAGCCTGCTGAGGTGTCCGGGAGCTGATTAATGTCTCCACATACCTGATCTCTGCTCGTGTCCCTTCCCGGCGACAGGAGGCCACAAGTCACATCTGGGGATATCTCTATGCTCATCACTCAGGCTGCCCGCTCGCTCTCTTCCTTCTTCCTGCTCTTATTGGAGGGCTCTGGCTAGTTATCCTTGTCGTTCCCAAATCCTTTTGCACTAGGGTCTGCCAACAAGCAGGCTCTGGGGAATGCTAAGCTGTGTAAAAAGCAGCTGTGAATCATATTAAATCATATTAATTTGCATTTTCCAATAACATCATGAAATAGACCGTTTCTGCTCAGAAAAAAAAGTGCACTTTCAAATCACACAGCACCAGTTTAAAAAAAAAAAAAATCAGTGCAAAAACCTTAGGAGCATATTTATGTAAAATAAAATTAATGTTATAATGTAAAAACAGCTGGATTTTTATTCCATCTAGATTTCATAGCATATGAACTCCTCTTGTCCCAACAAGGGACAACTTGTGGTCCCAGCTTGTGCACACTAATCCCGCGTATCCCGTSCTCTGTGCACACAGGCCCAAGGGAAAAGACAAAATAAAGTCTGCTTTGGGTTTCGTGTTTACTGAAGGCACGCCAGATTAACAAGCCCAGTTTCTGGAAATCCAGAGATGGAGAATTCCAAAGCCAGAAACATAAGATAAGACCCTGGAAACCACAGTGGACACGACCAGAAAACTCCAACAAAGCCCTGCTGTAAGGCGTTGTGTCCTGGGCAATAAGATAAATCTCTTTAATGACACAAATGACATTCACCAGGAAGTCACAGTCATCCACACAAAGAGAAGACTATTTTGCTGTAGTTTTTGGAATATCTCACTATGTATATTAGGCAATGGCTTCATTTCAGGGCTAATTTACAGTTATGCTGACGGCCGAGTCGAATACACTTACTTGAAGCAAGAGCAAATAGGGTGGATAAAAAGCAGGCTAGAAGTTCAGAGCTGTTGTTTGAAGGGGAAGTTGTTGTCCAGAGACACATCCTCTTTCTCCTACCCTGGAATAAAAAGCACAAACTTTTACTCCTTGCTAATAACGAGCACATAAAAAGCAGGAATTACTATGATTATACCAAAAACCTTTGTCTTGTAAGAGAAGCTGCTGCTAGCTGAACCCAGAGGCAGCCGTAGCATCAGCTTCACCAGGGATGACACCAGCTTCTGCTCGCTCCTGGCCACTGTCGGGCACCCTGATAATCTGGGTGATGAAATGAACAGTGTCAGGGCTCAACAACCACCAGGCAGCCGGCTCTGCCTGCCCTGCCCAAGCATTTTCCAAGGGTYTCCCTCACGACAGCAGCCTGTGCTCATCTGAACACCAGGTCTCATCCTGGAATGAGTCTCGTTACTGGCACAGGAGGAGATGAATGTGTTGATTCTTTCTCCAAAACGTTATTTTGCTCACTGGTCTTCACTTACAAGTCTACTACCCGTGGGGAYGAGAGGGTCAAGCTTTGGCCATGGCAATCCCAAGGATGCGGATCCTTCTCMTCCTGCTCCACTTTCCCCTGGAAGGCTCATTCCAGTTCTCCCCCTGCAATGATGTGGCATCCATCCACGTGCAAACCTGGACTTGCTTTTCCTCATCCTCCCGTTRTCTCCCCATAAGGTGGAAATCCCTAAAAGATGCAGGCCCAGGAGAGCAGCACAGGACTATTGTCCTGTGCTAATGTGACTTTCACACTAGCCTACTGAAAGGAACCAAATTACACGGCAAATGGCAGCCCATTGAGAACTGATTTGTCAAGAGGAGGCTCATCCGGATCAAGACTTTTCATCCCTTTTTTGCATTTTGCAGGGATCTGAGAGAGCAGATGCTCCGAGAGCCACCAGACGGAAACTGCCCCTTACAAAAGGACAGGAATGATCCACAAAACCCTCCGGAGCTGAGAGGGACTCGCCTGGGTCATRGCCTCAGGGAAATAAAAGGAATCCAACTTGCCTGAACACAGAGGCATCCAAAGGCATCCAAGGGGACAGCACCACCAAGGATACCAAGAGCCTTTATCGCTTCAATTCCCCCCAAAAATATGCTGTAAATCTGAGGTTTGCACATTCTGATACAGGGGACTTCTGCCAAAGCAGGGTGGCACCCCAAGAACAGGCAGAGGGACCACGGGTTCAGGTGAACACAACTSATAGCTGGCACCCAAAAATGGGTGCACCAGCCAAGACCAAAGGCGAGTGCCCAAATTTTTTAGTCTAGATGTTTCTGGTTATTGAGACTTAGCTCCATGACTATAAAGTGAACACGCAGAGAAATTGTTATTCAAATAGCGTCACTTTTTGCTCAAATCCATTCCCCAGTCGTAGCTTTCAGGCCCCACACGTTTCCGTCTCATCAGAGATGCTGAGCACTGTATTTACAGAAGGAAGGTGGAAATTTGGAACAATTTGATGATTAAATCAAAGGGAAGATGTTTTGCTAGGGACAGTAAAAATCCAACTTAATTGGGGACCTGCACTCTTCATTTTAGAGGAAAAAAATAGCTAGTAATGTATCAAAAGCCCTCTTTACCTCCCAGAAAAAAAAACCCATAGATTATTTATATTCATGATAGTAAGTATTAGTTTCTTTGYACTAGGATGTTTCTTGCTGCTACTCACCTCCAGGAATCTGCTTGTAGAGGTGGGCTTTTTGGTACATACACATACCTTTGAGCCATGACCATATACATCTGAGTGTTTTGAAAGCTCACAAACACACTAATTAACAAAAAGTGCTCCGATTATGATATGTGGCTATATTAGTAAGCCAAACTTGTGGGTGAATTAGGGGTGCAGTAGAACAAGTACAGGTGTCTGCACGCACAAAAGGCACGCAGAGCCACGAGACCCCGGGCTCGGTCACCCACAAAGTTAAGGGGTTTTTCCCCTACCTTTGGTCTCGGTTTGTTCCCGCTGCCTCTTGCTCTGTCACTGGGCACACTCCAGCTGGTTCTGTCCCCATCCTCTTGCCCACGGTGACAAATCCACACTGAGGACCAATCCGGGCTTCCAGCTTCACCCAGAGCACAGGAACGCCGAGACCCTTCGGGCAGTTATCATCTGAGGAGCTCAACCCTGCAACGAGTGACACCACAAAAAGYGTTAAATCATCAAAACTTTATTCCCCCCAGCAGCATGAGATCAATAGTGAGCTTTGCACATCTGATTAAGCAGCTGATCTGCTTCTAGGTTAGCTAGGGATTTGTAATCCTGTCTGTGCAAGGCTGAGCTCCAGCACACGAGAGGGAGGGCTGTGAATATGTGGAGCCCATTCGATTAAATTGGTTATTTTTCTAAGAGCATTTAGGCAAAAGGAAAGTGCTTCCATTTACCCAGCCCTAAGTTTAGCTCAAAAAGAGGAATATCTGATCTATATGAGGAAAAAGCAAGCCAAATCATGCTTGTGTGTCATGTATACAAGTGTCTGTATGCATATAAAATAAACATAGGTTAATAGTTATGTAAGTTCACTTATACCTAAACACAGCTTACCAGGTAGATGACCTAACCAGATGTTTTATTCTGAAGTAAACTTTATGCTCTGCAGTTGAGATATCCRTTTGAAATATTCAGTATTTAATAGCTACCACTCAGCATTGGATTTTTAATTTCCAATATGAAAAAAGCAAGTAACATTTCTTTTTATTTTCCAATATCCAGAACAGTAGTACTGCACTCAATAGGGATAGCGATCAATAGCGAGGAATCTTTCCTGTCTTTTCTATGTGGATCTGGTCTGTCTCTGCTATCGTTTTTTCCAGCTTGAAAGCCCTTGCGAGATTTGCTGTGTGTACCCCGGCAGCTTCCCCTTGCCCATCGCAGCATCCTTGGATACTGTGTGCACAGAGGAGGGATTCCAGCCTGACCTGCAGGCCTCCAGCTCCCACTCTGCCACGCTTGCATTGCTTTATGTTGGCTTTAGGGTTCAGGTCTCAGCAGTGAAACAAATTCCTGGTATCGGAAATGAGACCCGGGTCAAAATAGATCAGAAAAGTGAATACGGTTGTAATTATCCTTACTAGCAAGAAAAAGTGAGTTTAGGGAAGAACAATGAAGATTATCTTGTAATGGATTTCATGGAGGATGAAAGAGCTTCACTTGACATTCACAAAAAAAAAAAAGTTGAAAAGGGATAAAATTTCTCCTTCTGCATACACAAGAAGAAGCATCATTTAACCTAATAGGCAATGATAGTGCAAGGATATATCCAAAGCACCGTGAAAAGATTAGTGAAAATAGTGGCTTCTCTCCAGCCGAGGCTTTTGAGCAGTCCCAGGATCTTCTCCATTTCTAGCTCAAGCCAGAGCCGCAAGCTCCTTGTAGCTCCTCACCACACTTCCCTCTAGGCAAAATTTTGCACTGACATATCGCCTACCCAGAGCAAAACTCTTGTTTGGGGTAAAAAATAAATAAAACAAAATAAACCAACAGCAGCTACTTTCTATTACTGCTATTTCAAGCACTTAAGTACTGGACTGAAAGAATAAGCTAGAGGGTAAAGCTGAAGAACAGAATCTACAGGCTGTTCTGAACAGCAAGGACAAGAAGATAGTGGAACAAACTCCGGGAGAGCAGAAACTCCCGCACCAGAGGCCTCCAAGAACAGCCGGCACATCCAATAGGAAGCATGGAAGTGCAGCCGGCCGTGCAGGGGGGCACGGACCAGATGACTTTCCATACTTGGGATGCAGGGCTCCATTTCTGCATGTTCTATCACAAACTGCATGGCAGAAGTGCATGTTCTACCACGTGTCTAATGCCAAATCCTGGGATAAACGTAAGTTACAAGAGTAGAACTGACAGATAAGGAGACCCAAGGAAAGAGGGAGAGAGCACTGACGGTCCCAAAGGCACAACAGCAATTGGTTGTTGGGACTTTTTTTGGCCATTGGAGAAAGGCAGGAGAAGGAGCTGTTTACGGAAGCTCCTCTTGCAGCAGAGGCCAGAACACGACAGGGAGCAATAGAGGCTGGGAGCAACAGGGCTGTACAGGGTGTGAGGCAAGGAGAAATACTTCCCATTTAAAGCACGAGGCCAGGGCACCAAAAAAGGGACGAGAAGTCTAACCGCTGCCTTGCACAACGCCCTGTGCAGCACTGCTCTGCACAGACGTGACACACGGCGACATTTGCCAAACCTATAGAAATGCATAGCCAAGTGGGCGATCAACCAGGCGGTGAGAGGCCACAAGCTCCACACGCGTGGATGGGTGAAGGTCTCATTTTGGGGAGCTCGCATAGAAAGAAAAGGGGAGTTTAGACAGCCCTACTTACGATTACAGTGCGGCTTGTTTCAAAGATGAAGACGATTTGAATTTACATGATAAGCCAATAAAGCTGCTTTATCTGCTGTGACCAAGATATCAYTGATCAAGGAACATTGGCAGAAGATGAGGCCCTCGATTTAACTGTGTGATGCATGAACTGATGCTCAATTCCCATAGACAACATCAGAAAGATGATGTGAGATTTTAAATTGAAGCAGAAAACAGAACCAGGTAGGAACTGAACTACTGGTTTACTAGTTTTGTGCTTATGCAAAATGAGGAACAGAGGAAGTAAGAGGACTCTACAAAACACAGAAGAGGGGCAATGATGACATGGTGAAGAAGCATCCGGGAATGTGAGAACTGGTGGCAGTCACWGATGCCATGGGAAAATGCAAGTCACAAACTGCACAACTGCTAGTGGCAAAAGCAAAATGACTGAGCAAACTGTGAGTGACTGGATGATATTCTCAATAGCTAAGAAGAAAGTCAAATATTTACACGGGACATTTCTGTTGCACAGATGAAACATTATGGTGCTAGTGCAGATGTAGGGGCTAGACAGTCAAACAGATTTGCTCCACCTACAAAATTCAGACCCATCTGATGCTAACCTGTTACATAACCTTTGGCAGGGTACTTGAAGCACAAATTGCACTTACCTCTTGCGTGCTGGAAAAGTGAATATTGGTGATGTATGGTGTGTTAATGTGAGAAGATAATGCTTTTTATGGTGGATATTTCTAAAGTCTTCATCCCCTCCATGCAAAAATATATTTTTTTTTCATTTGAATATCCTCCTTCCAGATATCTCACCCTCAAATTCTGAAACACATCCAAAATCTTTCACTCAACACAATCAGAAAAAAAATATTAATACTTCAAAAGTCTGGCTTACATTTGAAAAAAAGACAAATACGAGTTGTCACCTTTTCTTTGTGATGATGCTTTCTATTTATTATAATACAGAAATAACTGTACTACTGAAATACAAGATTATGCATTCAAAGTAACATAACTATTAGAGGGTTTTTATTTCTTGTTTGAACTTATTTGCCAAATTTGACTAATTTTCAGAAAAAWTCAGTCCACCTGAATCTTTCATTACTATTTTTCTGTAAGCCAATGAAATACAAAACATCTTGCAATCTCCAACTCCAAAATTTTAGTGCAGACCAACACAAGGAAACCCTGTGCAGCTTTGACGTCCCCTGCAAACTTAGCAGAAACAGCTCTGTTCGCTCGCACCACTTTGAGGCTGGCAAGTGGAACAAGACACTGCACTTCTGCTGCTCCCGTCTTTAGCACTTACCCCACGACCAAGAAAGCGTTGGACACRACAGATTTTTTCTTTAGTACTGGCAGAAGTTACTACAGCAGTTGCACTGGTGATGACGCTGGTAACTGTGTCCTATGAATCACATTCCTCTCCAAGTCCCTTGCCCAAGAACTGTCCTCACTCATCTTCACTGCTTAAACTGTCAGACTTGAACACACACAAGTTTAGCACAAGACTCCATTTCTACAGCAGGTGCTTCTTAATTGCAAGAAAGATATAGACTCGATTAGCCTGAATCAAAACCTAACCATCGCATATGGTATAAAAGCTATAAGCACATTTTATTTTATTCTCCCTCTCCTTCCACAGATAGRACCAGTAAAATATTGCTAGAAGTTTTTCACAAGTCTTAGTTAAACCGTAAGACTTAAACTATATTCTACCACACAGAAGTCCAAGAGCAGTAAAAAGGGCTGAACGCTAGGTGAAAAATACGTAATATGTATACAAAAGTCTGTAACTGTTGCTCTTCAGTAACTACATAATTATTTTTCACTGGTTAAACTCTGTAGCGGAATCTTTATGATAATAATATATCAGAGCCATAGAAAAAGTGTTGATTTATGATGACATCTGCTTGTCTTCATAATAATAAAATGATTTATGCTTCAGAAGAGAAATACAAGGAAATTTGTTGCCAATTTATATGAATGACTTGGTTACCTAGAAACATCACAGGATACACATAATAAATATTCCTGAGTATTCCTTTCACAAAAAGGGACAGCGTACAGTATACCTGTTTAAAGAAAAAATCCAAATACTGTCCTAAATACACAAGAAGTAGAACAAACAGTTTTGTGAGGAAACCTAAAACATATTTGACATCAGACTCTAGGAAGAAAAAAGAAAAAAAAAAGTACTGAAAAAAAATTCAGAAAACCTTAAAAAAAATGCAGAAGGCTTACAAACAGGTAATCAACCAGTTTATTTTCATAGACCAGGAAAAAAGAGCACATCTACATTTCTTCTTTTCCTTTGTTTTTTTTTTTTTTTTGGTCAACGTTTTCGTCTGGAATGCCAGGAAGATCAGGAAGATGACAATCAAAATATTGCAGAGTATCCCAATCCCTCCTTATATGTGATTTTGCAAGTTTAAAAGTATTCCTGAAGAACTGACTACAGTATATTACCTCACTCAATAAAGAAATTAATTCCTTCTCCACCTAGTTTAAGCAGTTCTTTCCCATTCTATATATTGCTTTAAGTAACCCTTCCGCATTCCTTATATGAGCTTCCCAGCGACACATTAGTCTCTTATTTGAAACCTAAGTAGAAAATAGAACACTGTGACACAATTATGCCATATTTGCAAGCAATTAATGCAGAAACCGATGAGAATCTTCCATAGGCCTGAACAATTACATACCAGTCCCAGAAGTCAGAAAAAGAAACTATACTTTTTTGAGCTTGTCCAATTCCCCCAAAGACCGATTACATCAAAAATTCTGAGCAAATAACAGCAGACAAGAACATCCCTGGATCTAAATTTGACCCTCCTGCTCGTACTGCGCTAAACACTATTGACCTGGGAGACTCTTAAGCAAGTGGAGACAAAGGCTCGGTACAAACATCCAAGGCTCTTAAAATGGTGCTCAACTCCAGTGCTTATYTGCCCAAGCACTTAAGCTTTTTATTTTTCTTTTTAAAAAAACCTATTTCACTGTTATGTTGATGTTAAGGGTCTCTGAGTGTAATTTTGAGTTGTCAGTAAACTTACAGCTTCCCCATACACATTTTTGTTCCTTTTCCCCAGCATTCCCTGATACCCGGGATCAATAACATTGTAAACTGCCCTTAGCAGTCTGTTATCCAGCTACACTGCTAAAGGCAGGGAAGAACAGCAGTTAAATAGCAGAAATTTCTCTTCCAGTTACCATATCTACATGCACAAGAAGGGAACATAYACAGAAAATGAAGGAATGCACTGTTTACACGCAGTAGGAACAAAGAATACTCCTTTGTAGATCAGATGATGTCTCTTAAGGCACAAAAGCGGGTCAGGAGCTCACTGCAAGTGTTCAACTATCCAGTAAGTTTCTGACATGAGAAATTCTACTGGCTTCCACAGCATGACCCRTATTATTTAGGGTGCAGCTGATTTCTTATAAAATTTGCCTTGATACAAGTTTGCAATGTTTCATGTTCTACATATATATATATATAAAATGTATATATATATACACATACATATGTAATTCATGGAACTAGGTAGCAAAATAATTATAATTTTGGCCCAGGATGCTGAACCACGATGACCAGCTTCTACATGCAAAGCTGCATTTACAGTTCAGCATCCACCTAATTATTTATATACTGTTTTGAATAATGAAGAAATTGGACAAGTATGGGAGCCATGTACAGAACCAAACGTTAACTGAAACAAATTTTACACTCTCAGTATTAGCTTTTTTGAGCTCACAGTTCAAAAACTTGGAATGAGTAAGAATAAGAATGGAGAATATTTTTACCTTCCAATGAAAGACTAATCAGGGATAACTAAAAAACTAGTTTCCTACCACCACTATAAGGAGAACTGCCCAGCTGTTGAGACTCCAACAAGACAGAATCGCATACTTTTTGCTAGTAGAGAGTGTTTGCTGATTAATAATGCCTATAACAGATAAGAGTTGACAACTTTATTCATGAAAATATATAACAACAACTACGCAACAAAGTGCAACTTGCTTTGTCAAGATGCAACAGTATCTTCCTCTATTATAATCTTATTGGATCCTTMATTTAAATAGCATAATCCTATCAGGCTTTTACACCAGTTTACTTTTTCTTTATCCAAAATCTAACAACTAACTTACTGACCAGAGATTTAAAAATAAGTATTTTAAGAAAGCTGAACCCATAAAAAAAAAGTTACTTAAAATGCATTTACCACCACAATAGCTTGCTTAGATATTAGCCTTTGGAACATTTCCTTTCATACTGGTTCTCACAACAGTTTTCAAGACTTCTAAAATTCCTGTAATAAAAGAGTACTGTGCACATGCATGGGGAAATCAAGACCTTTAATTTTTTTTTTCCTCCAGTAAGCTTCACTCAGTATTTTGGAAGACAATTTACAGCTTTATACAAGTATACACTCAAATATAACTTGAACTTACAACTCGTTCTCAATTGAGAAATGAAATGCAAACACTTCTGTGTTTTCATAACCCTTTTTCTTTTTAAATGATGCTGCAGTAGTTAATTCTTATACTTGATTCCCCAACAAAAAGCTCTTTTCCAAAAGTTTTCACCTGTGCCACTAAAACCTCCAGCCCAAACTTTCTTTTCCTGAAGCCTCAGCCCAAGGGTCACTGCTGTTCACACCTGAAAAGAAGTTAACACAGAGTAAAATAAAGCATATATTAATCCAGAGGTCCTAAACACTTTGCAGCCTCTATGTTTTAAACCCATTGCCCCAATCTTTGTTCCGACGAAGCCGCAAAACATGCCAACAACAACACAGAAACCCAACGGCCAAGTCAAAAGAGGCCCTAAAACAGCCCAAAAAMTCATTACCCTGTTGCAAAACACCTGCGAAACCAACCACAACTTACCCTTGTTTCCAGCCCGACCTTTCTCCCAACTTTGCTGCCAACCACGCTACAGTTCATCTGCAAGCCCAGGTAAAACGGGGCAAAACACGGGAACCCTGACCCACCACCAGGAGTGTTTTGAGGAGAAGGCCATTTTTTTTTCCCCCCCCCCCCCCTTTTTCTTTTCTTTTTTTTTTTTTTTTTTTTTTTTTTTTTTTTTTTTTTTTTTTCCCCTTCTCTAGCAGCGACCCCTCAGAGCTTCGCTTAAGACGAAGGGATCTGGGGGGATTTCAGTGCCCTCGGCGCCCCCGAGGCCTGCTCGGCGGCGGGCAGCGAGGCCGAGCCGCCCCAGCGGGGGCGTCAGGGCTGGGCTCCCCCGCGAGGCTCCGCTCCRCGCCCTCCTTCCCCCCCAGCGAAGCCTTTTCCCCCACGAGGCTCTTTCCCCCCCTCAAAAAACCCGACTTTTCCTCACGGTTTTCCTCCCGCAGCCGAGACAAAGAGGCGAAGCGGYGCCTTGCCGCCGCCGCCCCTCACCAACCATGGCGGCGGCCGCCTCTTCCCGCCCTTCCCCCCCGCCTTGGCGCCCCTGCGCGCCCGCCCCGCGCCTCGGCGCCTCCCCCCGCGGCCGCGGAAGGGCGGGAGGGAGGCGCGGAGGGAGCGCGCGCCGCCACCGCGCCCGCGGAGCGGCCGCCGCTCCTTCGCCAGCAGCCACCAGCACGGAATGATCCTCCGCTCCGCGGCGGGCTCTCCCCCTGGCCGCCTTCGCCGCGCTCCCATTGGCTCCCGCCGCCCCTGCGCCCCGCCCCGGCGGCTCTAGCGGCGCGGCGGTTGGCGGAGGCGGGTGTCCGTCAGGCCGCAGCGCCCGCCTCCGCGGCGATCAGGTTAGTGCGCGGCGCGGCGCCGGGGATCCCGAGCGGAGCTGGTTGCGCCCTCCGAGTCCCTCCCGGTGGCGGCGGGGGGGTCCGCAGCGGGGTCGGTGTCGGTGCACGGAGCGGGGCCGGCGACAGCGAGCGTCTCCCGCCAGCCGCGGCCATGGACATGAAGAAAAGGATCCACTTAGAGCTGCGGAACAGGACGCCCTCAGATGTAAGCAATGCAAAAAAAAAAAAAAAAAATCCACCCCACATTTTAATATATTTTTAAAATTAATTACTGATTTTTTTTCTGGAGTGGACCGGGTGTGAGGCGGGTGGTGAAGCGGGGTGCATCGGCGCGCCGGGCAGGGCCCGGGGGTGCCCGCGGGGGTGGCCCCGGCGGCGCGGGGGCCGCCGCTGCCCTTGAGGTACCGACCCGCGCCCCGCCGCGGGTCCCGGGGGGCACCGCGGGCCGCCCCCCGCCCGCCTCGGCGCGACCCTGATGGGGGGAACCGGGAGGGCAGGAGGAGGAGGAGGAGGAGGGGGGGTCGCCTTAAAGGGGGAGGGGGGGCCGTCTCGCGGCGCATTAAATAAAAAAATAAGTTGCTGCTCCTCTCCGGCGTGTTTAGTTCGCAAATATTTGTGGTGGGCGCCGCGCAGGAGGCGGCGGGCGAGCGGCGGAGGGCCCCGCGCCGCGTGCGGCCCCGCTCCGTTGCGGCGAGCAGGAGCAGAGACTGGGGAGCCATATTTGTAACTTTGTAGTCCTCATGAACGCGCCCTTTCTCTGCCTCCCTCCAGATGCTCCGAACATCTTTTTTTCCTCTCTCTCTCTCTCTTTTTCTCCCCCTTTTTTTTTTTGTAAAAGAAAGAAGAAAAAAATTAAACAATTGCTTAGTTTTTTTTTTTCTTCTTAGCTGCTATCGCTGCCGCGTAGGCTAAGGGTTGAATAAAAATGCAAAATAAATAAAAAAAGGCACTTTCCCCTTGCATCCACACACACACACATACACACACACAAAAAGGCTGCCGCGTGTGCGTGCGTGGGGGTTGTTTGGGGTGTTCTCTTTTTTATTATTTTTAACCCCAACACCCCCCCCCCCTTTTTTTTTTCTTATTTTTTCCCCACTCCTCTTCCTCGCGGCTGCACTTGAGCTTGTTGTGCGGCGCCGGCCTGAATAAATGAGAAGCAGGAGGGGAATTTAAAAAAAAAAAAAAACTTTGTTAGGACAAAAATAGTCCAAGGCGGCGGGGGGTGCCCAGATACGGGCACGGGGGGGGGCGCAGGGGGGGACACGCGGGCCGCGCTGGCACCGGCGGGACTCGAACTCGCGGCGCTCGGAGCGCGGCGCGGGGGCCGCGGCGGCCCCGCTGCCCGCGGGGGCCGTTATATAATGGCCGGGGAACGGGAGGTTCCGCCGCGGCGGGGAGAGGGCAACGTACCTCGTCGGCAAGCGCGGGTTTAATTTTTTTTATATATATATTTTTTTGCCCCCGCTCCAAAGGGGCAGATTTATGTAACCTCGCTCTTTAAACTTTAAAAAACTCCTGTGGGCGAGGAGGAGGAGGAGGACGGGGCAGCGGGAGGAGGGCGCTCCCGCCGCCCGGCTCCGCGACGCGCCTCATTGTTGGCGGCGAGGGACAAAGCGGCTCCCGCCGAGCCCGTCCCGTCGCCGCGCGGTCGCGCAGCCCGCCGCGCTGTCACCGCTCCCCGCGCCGCCGTCCACACGAAGTAGGACGCGGCGCCATGTTTCCCCCCCCCCTTCCTCCTCCTTCCTCCTCCTCCCTTTCCCTCCCTTCCTTCGCCGGCGAGGGGCGGCGGGGCGGGCGGCGGCCGTTACCGAGCGCCCCCGCCGAGCCGGGCCGGGCCGGGTGTCGCTGCGGGCCGGGCGGCAGCCGCCACCGTGTTTTGGTGTCGAACTGCGCCATGAGACGCTGACGGGGAGGGCGTTTTCCTGAGGGGAGGCGGGGGGGGGGGGAGAGGAGGAGGGGGAGAGGCGCGGCGCCGCCGTTGGGACCGTTGGAGCGGCCGTTGGGACCGTTGGAGGGGCGGGGGCGCCCCCTCCTTTCCCTTCTCCTCCCTTCCCCGCGCGCCGGCTCCGACATGACGGGCCCGGGGCTGCCATTTTGTCACCGCGGTGGCCGCGCGCGCGGGCAGGGAGGGAGGGAGGAGGCCCCGGCGRGCGCGGGAGCCAGGAGGGCTAAAAAAACAGCCGCTTTTCCCCCMAAATCCCCCATTTTCGTTATTATYCAGTATTTTAATGGCGCTCCATGCCGTTGATGTGGTGGGGGGCCGGGCCGCGGCGCCGGGGGCTCCCGCGGCAGCTTCCGCAGGGAGGCAGCGCCTTCCTGACGAGCTGAATACGCCTTCCTGGGCAGGGCCCTGCGGGAGGTAGGTCTCGCTTTCCCTTGCCTTTTTTTTTTTTTTTTTCTTTTTTTTAAATATATTTCTTAGCTTTTTTTTTTTTTTTTTTAAACCGATTAATCTATGCCATTCCCACCAAAGGGGGTTTCGGCGTTTATTTACACACCCCGGCTGTAAAGACGTTGTCCAAAGCCTCTCAGAAAGAGGTAGAACGTTTTATTTGATTTTATTTTTCCCTGCGTAGCTTTTGTTCATTCYCCCCCAGTGCTGACTTCCTGCAGGGTAGAGTTGAAAGTGCCTTGGTTTGGGTGGTTTTGCTGTTCCTTGGTGATCCAGAGCGGTTTGGGATTAGGAAATCTAGGCCAAAGGAGTTGGTCGTGAAATAAAGCTTATCTGAGGCGTCGTTTTTTACCTGTTAGCCTTCAATTCCAGCAATGAGTTAAATGTGTTTGTCCTCTCCGTAGCAAATGTCCTCATGCTTATTTTAAGGCTAAATACTTCTGGTTTTGTACTGGAAGGGAAGTGTCAATTTGGAATGCTGTTCTATTTACAATAGTTTTGCTAAAACTCTCAATTACAGGTACAGACATACGCTGTTTGTCATGGAGAATTAAGTACGTTTTGGACAGCTAGCTGTCTGAAGACATTATATGTTTAATTTGTCGTTAAAGTCTTTTCAAATTGAGCTAGTGCTTTTGGTGAAATGACTGAAACTGAGTTGTAGAAGCGATTCTGATGCTGATATTTAATTTATTCATGYATTTTAATAAGTATTTCAACGTGAGCAGAGTAGTTCTGCAAATTGTCTTTATTAGTCTGTACCTGGCCGGATAATGCAGTATTTATCGTGTGTCCCGTGGGGATCCTGTGTTGTTTTCATGTTTCAAAGTTAGTATAAATACATTCTGGGGGAAAAAAATTCTCTCCTTGCACAAATATAGGTGAATTAAGTTGTCTCAGTGCCTCTGCCTCCTGTGTGCCCRTGCTGTGTGCTGCATCTTGCATTTAGCGTGTGCTGTTGAGAGCTGACTACATAAAAGAAACTTTTTCTTCTGTAAATCACAGACAGGAAAATGTTGACTCTGAGCTTACATTAATATTTTGTAATTTGAGATAGCTAGTAAAATATTTGTRAAGAAAATTGCTTAGAACAATGTAAGGTAACTGGCTGCTTTGAGGTGTTAAACAATATGCATAACAATTAACAAAATTGTATAATTAAGATGCCTCAAAGTGGGTAGTATAGGAGCTATTTCACTTTTTTTTTTTTAGTTCTCCATTTCTGTGTGAATTTAGCATTGCTGAGAAGTGTGAAGTTTCAGTGCTTATTTTGCYGTGCTTTGAACAGTTAGAGTTGAGTGCATCTCAACTCTGCATCAGCGTCCTGCCTTGACCAGGTATTTCAGCTTTGTATCCCATTGCCTTTAAGGGTCACTTACAATAGTGCATTTACCATAGCCTTCATCACTTTGTTTATCTTACTYCTAATATTAGTTTAGGTTAAAAATACGTGCCTGCTTGGAACTGGCCAGGTACAGTTATTTTATATAGGTTTCCTCCCAACTCATCCAATCCTAGTAATAAAACAGAGGAGATGATCATCTGGGCAGGTCTTTGGGTTTTTTCCCCCCATTTGTATAGTAGAAAGCGCAACTCATGAGTAATACGCAAAGAATGTAAAACAAAYTCCCAATTAACCCTTTTCTCAGCTGTGTGACACAGGGGTAGGGTTTTGAAATTGTGCACAAAACCTCATCCTCTGTGGTTTACAGCTGCATGCCACTCGATTTAGCCTGAGGATTTAATGCTGCTTCTAAAAGGAGTTTTATCAGCTCAAAATTGTGGCAGTGATAGCATGCTGACAGTAACCCTGGGTATTTCCTACACTCCTGTAGCTCTCTGCTGCCTTTTAAAACTCACTTGATGGCCTGATTTCTCTGTTTTTTTCTGTAGGTCTTAGCACTAAAGGGAAATGCAGTGCAAGCCTTTGTACATAGAGTTGTTTTAGATGAAAAACACAAATAAAAGGACTGTTCCCCAAGCTAGTTCCTCCCTGTGATGTGTGCAGTAACAGTGGAGAGCTTAAACTGGTGCAGTCTTTTTAGTGACTTGCATTAAAAAAATATTTTGGTACTGTAACAAGTTATAAATATGGTTTTACCTTGCCCAGGCTATGAAAAGCCCATGCTGTCTACATTAGCAATACATCTCTAAGTGTGAATTGAGTTGGTAGCACAAGTGTCAGTGGTTGTTTCCTTTAATATTTGCAGTGCAGAAGTGCCTGATTCTTTCTTTTTTGCCCCAGCTGTGGATTCCTCTTTCCTTGCTCCATTCTCCCCCCATAAAGGTATAGGAAGGTTGCAGAAGCTGAGAAGTGAGAGCTGGACGCGAGGAGTATGAGTGGACTCTGTCTTGGCTGCTTTTGAATTTACTGATGCTGAGGCTTTGGGGTTTGCCCAGAGGAGAGCAGCTCTGCTGTGCAGGCTGCACAGGAGGGTGGCACCTCTGCGATTCCCGGTGCTGTCCTGGCAGGAAGCAGGCGGAGCAGAGGGTGAAGGTGAATCCTCCTCCTGCCGCTGGGCTTCCCATTTACCAGCCGTGCAGCTTCAGCGGCTGTGAGTGACAGGCGGCCGCGCCGGATGCACCGCGCGCCTGTCTGCAGCAGGACAGGTCTCCGGGGGGAACAGGCAGCGCTGGGGGTTTTGTTGGGCCTTAGCGTGAGGAGGCTTCTCAGCTGTGGCTTTGACACTAGCCGACTTGTTCTGCATTTAATTTTTCCTGTCTCCTTTCTTGCTCTGCCCTGCTTCAAACAAAATAACTGACAGCCCGTAGGTTTGCCCAAGTTGCTAATATCAGTCCTGAAGCTCTCT